ACATTATATTTATTATCATTGAAAGCTTTCGTCATAAGATTTTAAAAATATTATACCGAAACGGGTTTCTAAAATTTTTATTAAACAAAATTTTAGTTGAAAATCAGTGACGTCTTTTGATAAATTTTTCTATTATTAAAAAACAGAGACTTCCGCATTTATTTATTTTTTTAGTTTTCTGGAAGACCTTAATTAAAGATTATTTATATTCTTATAGCAGATCTTTGTATCCAGAACAATTAGAACTTAGCAGATGAAAGTTTCCTTCTTAAACACGTTTACAAACTACTAAGTTCTATAACTTTTTCAGTTGCCAGGATTTGGCAACTAGGAAATGGAATCTTTCTATACAAGGCCTCTTAAAGATACGCCAATGTATGACCTTCCAGATGTTTATAAATGGTTATTTTGGCGATATTTGCAGGTCAGTTTGTGAGCTTCTATATAAAATGCTATTGCTCGGGACTTCGTCTACGTGAAATAAGAAAATAATAAAATATGTAGCCTATTTAATTGCAGATAAATTACCTTTGTAACAGTGAAAGAATTTTTTAAATCGGCCCAGTATATTAAGAGTTCTTTCAATACATACAAAAACACAAATCTTTTCTCTTTAATATTATTTATCACGATCTCACATAAGTTGCACAGAGTATTTACAGTTATAATAAAATGAAATGGCTGCTGGTAGCTACTCTTCGCTCCCTACTTAGTGGTATCGTTTCCTATAGCGTAATTTAAAAAAATATATTAATAAATTTCTAATATTCCGTTAATTTCATATTACTAAACAAATTATGGTCAATAAAAGATACATTAGTTCCGAATATAGATAAGTACGCAAGCTATATTAAAAGCAAGCAATTATCTTATCATACTTTTTAATCTGGACATTAGAAGAATTCTAAAATTAAATCGGTTACTTGCTTAACAAGTGTGGAGGTACACCGGGAGGCATAGACATAGATAGAGATGTATTATAAAAGGCTCTGAAAATACTGAAACGATTTGAAAAATATCTCTCTGTTTGAAGCTACACTATCCTTAGGCGATAGAGGCATTATTACCTGATTATTTTTTTTTAATTCAGCGCATACAAAGTGAAGAAAGAAGAGGGAAAAAGTGTAATTGTAAACTCCTACAGACAAAGTTCCTGTCTTGAGAATTTTAAACCACTAATTTATTTATACTATTATTATAAAGAGGACAGATTTGTATTTTTGTATGTATTGAAGTAACATAAAAAATAATGCGCCAAATTCAAAAATTCGTTCACGATTAGAAAAGTAATTTATCTGTATACCATTCGTCATTTGTTATTTCATGCAAGCGACGTCGAGAGCAACATCAAGCATAATAACAAAAGAGCGTATAATAGTAAACACGCTTTAAGACCTACATTTTTAGATTATTAGCTTAGCTGCCAAGATTATTTACAAATCTATTCTATTTATAATCTGTATAAACAAGAAACTTGTTTTTATTAAAATAGACAATTCCAACCGATCACGACATTTAAAGAACAATCGTATAGAAAAGAAAACATTGATTATTCTTCACTTGTTCATTTCGCCTTAGATGATTTGGATAAATTAGATAAATATGAACTGTATATGAAAGAAAAAAGAGAAGATCAGCGATACGAGAACGACACAAGACGCGACACATTTGTACATTAACATGGGGCGCACTAGCGCTAGTAGACCAGTGGTAGAGCCCACCGTAACATCTTCGCATGGTCTCGCCCGGTGTAATACCACGACCACACAGAAGACAGGCGTGAAGTGGGAGCAATTCCGCATTTCGTCGGATGAGTGTGGTGCCGGAGGCCAAATTTTAGTCCCTTTTCCTTGGAATGTAAAATGGATTTGACGGTGGAGACGCATAGGAAGGGGAAATGTCCCCTTTTATGTGCGTCCTCCGTCAATTAAGGGTAGGCAACGCATCTGCAATTGCGGATGTTTATGGGCAGTGGTCGCTCTCCATTTCAATGGATTCAGGTGGCCGCTTGCTTGTTTACCACCTTGTATTATATAAAAAAATATAATAATTTAGATGGACTTTGCCCGCGACGTTGAATAAGGATGTGGAAACATTTTTTGCAAATAACCAGAGGGCGCTGAGCTATTTTAAATTATTGCCAGTAAATTATATACTCAATTCTGATAATTTTAAATGAAGAATAAAATTATTGAGTTTAACTGTGTAAAGGGAAAATTCTGTCAGTTGAAATGTCCCGTTAAAGTTGATTTTTCAGTTAAAACAGAATTTAGTGTTTATCGGTTTTTATATCAGCCGGGCCAGATAAGTTGATCCGTCTATAAAATCGACAATAATAACGGATTGCTTTAAGATTTATCAGTTGAAAGTTGTTGTTCAAAACATATTCTCGTATAGGAAGTATGCTAATTCCATTTAATATTGTTTTTGGCTTTGTATTATCAAAACACTTTAATGTTATGTATTTCCATATACAGCTATTAGAATGTTAAACACAGACATAGTGAATTTAAATTGTAAATCCAGCTAAGTGTAATTAAATATAAAACATGACTTAATAAAACGTTATTTTGTGAATGCAACAACAATGTACTTGAAATAAATCTATACTATTATACGAAAGCGTAAACACACACTTCTTTGTTGCCTAAGATGTCAGCAATTGTAGCATATTTTTGAATAATTCTCTTTTTAATGAAAAGCCCTACACTTATGTATGTCACGCTTTAGGCTATCTGTTTTCACGACATTAAATTTAGGGAGTAAATATTTTGGATAAAAACCCTAATGTGGGAAAGAGACCATAAGTTGCTGCCAACATTAAGAAATCAAGATTGCTAAGGTTTGTCATGTCATGTCATTTTGACATTTGCTATTGATAATTTGAAAAATTTAAAGAATAAAATAAAGTTTTCATAACTACATGCGGATGATGCCGCACGGGAACAGCTAGTAAGTAATAATTTGACTTAGTGTGTGTACACCTTTGACTAATCTATAGCACAATAGTTGTGCGATTGTCAATTGTTTCGCAGTCCATTGAACTGTTTAGTAGCACAATAATAAATCGAGTAGTGTGCGCACCTCCATATAATCAAAGCAAGACAGTTATGCGATAATTTAATTTCAGGTGTGCACACGCTTTTAATGTAACAGAGGACTTGTTTTCTTATCCATTAGGAATGCAACTTAAAGATCAACATTAATACGTCATTTTGAATGAAAACAGTTCCTCTGGTGTTGCGGATGTCCATGGGCGTCGTTGACCACCTTTGTGTTCCCGCCGCTCGTTTGCCCCCTTCTCTTATAAAAAAAAAAAAACAAAAAACACATTTACTATATATCTTTATTAGTACTGCTGCACAGCATTTGGCATAAAAATAACAATTGGAGTGATTATCAAACGTAATAGAAACACAAAATTTTTGAAACGATTCGTGTTAAACGTTGGCTTCCTATCTTACTAATATTATAAATGCGAAAGTTTAGATGGATGGATGTTTTTTGAGTTTGTAGCCTAAACTGCTGAACGGATTTCAATGAAATTTGGCTTAGACATAGAGGATAGTCTGGAAGAACACATACTATGTTTTGTATGAGCTCCACACGGACTGAGTCGCAGGCGAAAGCTAGTCATAAATAAATAAACATGGGATTTGAGCACTGCAGGCAATCAACATTCTATCCTTTTATTTACTGAGGACCGGCACAGGCTACCAAACATTTTTATCTGAATTCCTTGAGCATACTCTTTTTCATACAAAACATTCTTCGGTCTTCTTACAGTTGGTCTAAAAAAAGTTACACGAGCACATGTTTTATAGTTTTATCAAACACTAGCTTTCATTCGTAACTCCGACTGTGAATTAAATTTTTTTATGTGTTCTTCCGGAATATGTTCAAATTTCATCGAAATCCGTTCAGCTGTTAGGCGGCAATCTCTAGCAATCATCCATTTTAAACTTTAGCATTTATAGTATTACTAGTTTTTGCCCGTGACTGTCCGTGCGGAATAAACAAAAGTAAGTTACCTATGTGGTCTTAAATAATGCCAAATTTCATCAAGATCCGTTCCGCAGTTACTACAAACCAACTAGGCTGCTCCACTGAGGGTTGATTGAACACACATACCTTTGCAATTTACTCGCTGATATGTGAAGGTTAGAAGTTCTGATAATTTTATACATATAAAATTTGAACCCAGGACCTGTAGATTACAAGTCAAGACATTTTTTTGACGCATAATAGACACATACAAAAACCCTTTAGCTTGCTAATCAAATTAGGGTCATAAGAACTTTGAATATTGTGATTGCGAAGTTCAGATGGATGGATGTTTGTTAGAGTTTGTAGCCTAAACGACTAAACGGTTTTTGATGAAATTTTGTATAGATGTAGGGGATAGTGTGGAAGAACACATAGGCTGCTCGCTTTTTTTTACTTCCACGCGAACGGAGTCGCGGGCAAAAGCTAGTCTTGTTATATTTGTTTCGTTTGTTAGATAGCAGCGTCTTACCAGTCTTGACATTTTTGTCAAACTATAACATCAAAATTCATATTTTGGTTTAAAATATAGAACACAAATAAAATGAGGTACTCTTAGTAAAGTTGTTATTGATGTTTTCATAAGAGTTAAAAACAAGCGAGAACGTGTTCCAATGCGTTATTTAAGTCATTATTGCAATAACATTAAGTTTTAATATATACTTTATTAAAAAAAAATAACTATAGAATTAAGCAAAAGATCAAAAAATTAATAAAACAATTTTTAAACTGCGACATTCTTAATTAAAATCGTTGACAGTAAAAAATATCTATCTCGTTTAATATACGTAATAAAACGGTAAAATTGATAAAAATACAATATTATTATATCAAAAATGTTCCCAAATTTTCTACATTCACAATTTTTTTTTTCAATTCGGCAGCGTTAATCAGCGACCGACTCTTGACCTTTATCCAGGGATTAGTATAAAATGGTGAAACTTGTTCATGTTGCATTTAGATTTCGAAAAGATCTCCTAAAGTGAGGCCGTTAGCGCTCCGAAACAAGCCGAATTTATTTAAAAAAAATATGTTCCGCTACGTAACTATCGCAGTGTTGATCGCTGCGGCGACTTCGGAAGTCATATTCGAGGGGCCATGTCCCGATGTCAAGCCAATTGAGAATTTTGAATTCGAAGCCGTAAGTATTCTATTTAAGGATATTTTTCTATTTAATTTAATTATGCGGTTTTTTTTTTAATTACACTGAACTTTCCATCAATTTTAAACTTTATGATAACTATAAAGAAACATTTTTACAAAAAGAAAATTATTTCCACAATACTTAAATAAAATTTGGAGAGAAAACAAAAGACAGTTGGATTTTTAAATTTGAAAAACAAAAAACAATCAAAAACCTCTCATGTTACCGAAATGATAGCAATTTTTTTTGTATAGTATGGAGGAACATGGTACGAAATGGCGAAGTACCCGAACGCTGGTGAGGAGGGCGCGAGGGGCAAATGCACGATGGCTGAATACACAATTAATGGCGAAAAGGGCAAAGTGAGGAATTCCCACGTCATTGATGCGGTTCGACACTACATCTCGGGTGATCTGACACTTGTCGCACCTGCCAAGGTTATGCTGACATACACGTTTGGAGGTAAGTATCATCTATCACTCTACCACCTCCTCCTTTGCTATCCCAATGTAATCCATCGTTTCCGGAATTTGCAACTAAATTAGCATGTATTCCAGAGTTTTCCTGACCAAATTACTTCCAAACGCCCCTAAATCTTTTGAACCTTCAAACCCACATCATTTATAAGAGAAAAATTTCTGCTGAATTTCAATGGAATATTTTTGCAGGTCAATCTAAAAACTCATACCTCACCATCTTGGATACGGACTACAAGAGCTACTCTATCGGATACAGCTGCAAATACTTCAAGGATGGAAACAAACATCAAGGTAAAGTATTTGGATTGTAATTAAACATACATTTTTGGTTACGATACAAGGTTCTGGCATAAAAATAAAACTTAAATGGCTTATGCAATAAAATCTGATATTTTGTGCTTAAAACGCAATAATTATAGTTGTCCAGCCTTATTAGGATCTTAGTAACAACGAAGTTGTAGATTACATTAAAACGGCCTTAAAAACAAATTTAATACAAGATAAATTTAAAAATAGATTTTCCGTTTTGTTCGACGATGTTTAAAATACTTACTGCATTATCGTGATTTGTTTTTGTTTATTAGCGAAAGTGTCTAAAAAGGACAAGAAAATGTAGTTAAATCGATTTATTACCTTTTTGAACAAGAATTTAAACTATTTTTTTTCGGTGACGGTATTACTATTATTATTACTGAGCTGTCCCTCCGTAGGGATGAGGGCAGGTTGATGACGAGTATTGGACAGAGATATAAAGACCCTGGGTTAAGAGCATTACAGCATTACAGTGCAACATGTTTTATTTTTACTGAGGCAATGTAAAAAATAAACACAAATAAAATTCCTTTATACGCTTTCCGCTAAATTACGTTTAAAGTATTTAGTAGTAAAGTAGACTTTTATATCTGCCATCATCTTAATTAATGAGCCATTTACTAATTTTAATTTCAAATATCAATCAACCACTTTAAAAGGCGAAATTTTAGATAACAAACATTGTAGTGGAAAATGACATCGAAATTGATTCGAACATTGAAAAAAAAGCTAGCGGAATTGGTATTTTTTTTTTGTACCTTAAAATTAAATTTAAATTTATTTTTATAGCTCAATTCACTTTGCACAAACGAGTTAGAGACCTGCGAACTTATCTGACCCGGTTGTAAGCGCCCCACGTCAATATCAAAAAAAGTGTCACAAAATCCTTGAACTGATGTTCCTTCATGTTTTGTTTGTCATTTTCTATAGCACAGTGAATTTAACATACTGGGAGAACTAGAAGGGCATTTATTACCGGATCATATAAAATGTTGGACTATACATTACATTGGGTTACCGATACTGGGACAAAAGTCCACAAATTTACATGCTGCAAATTCTCTTTGTAAAAAAATATGATTCATTTTGAAGCAAGTAATAAAGTCTAGTGACAAATGCATTAAATGTAAATTACTAGTTTAAAGTGTATAATTTTTATTGCAGTCTTCGCATGGATCAAGTCTAGGAGCAAGAAACTTGACTGTGAAGCCAAATACAAGGTTGACAACTATCTGAGGACCTCTAAGGTTTTGGACTCGGACAAATTCGTTCTGAACGATTACTCCGACGTGGCTTGCTCGGCCCCATCCACCAAAACTATTACTGAGTTCCTTAAGTGAATAGATATATAATTAAGTAGATAAAATAGGTACATAATTATGTCTATAAACTTAAAGTTTCAATAAATTCAGTTGTTCGATTTACAATAAATTACAGATAAATAAAATAATATAACAAACTGTGTCTTTTTTTATTTATTTAATCTAATATCAAATAAAATATATATGATAAAGTAATTCGAATATCTATTTTTGTAATGGATTTAAAAATCTGAAGTAAGAATTAAATAAATATTTTTCTACAACCCTAAATAAATGGGTGTAAATATTATCTCTACCTCTGGTTGTAATAGTCAACCTTTTTTAACGTCTTACGTGTGTCATAAATGCGAAAGTTTAGATGGATATCCATCCATCTAAACTTTCGCGTTTGTAACAGTTCGATACCTAAAATGATTTTGATGAAATTTGGCATTGATTTTAAGCACACTGGAGAACACATTACCTACTTACTTTTGTTTCATTATACGCGGACGGAGTTGCGGTTGTAAGCTAGTTAATAATAAATAGAAATACAAGTGGTGCCGGAGACCTAACTTTAGTTCTTTTCCCTTTCCACCCTTGTCTTAAAAGGAAAGGATGGGAAAGAAAAATGGATTTGACAGTGGAGGAGACGCATAAGGGGAAATGTTATCTTTATGTGCATAAAGCATCTGCAATTGCGGATGTCTATGGGCAGCGGTCTCTCTCCATTTTGGTGGATTCAGATGGCCGCTTGGTCATTTTCCTCCATATATTATAAAAAAACATGTTATAATAAAAAAAAACTAAATATATGTATTATTAAGTGATTACTTAAACATTACATTTTTCGACAAGACAAAGTACAAGTTATTTAACAGTGGATTAACACCATAATTTGCGTTTTTTTAGATTATTAAAACAAATTATTCTAAGACTGGAATTTAAAAACGGATTTTAAAACGTCTACTGTTGACTACTATTATTTTCACGTAAGAATGTAATTAAAAAGCGAATAAAAACGCTTAATGTCTAAAATAATAGCCACAGAATAGATATTTTTAATTTAATTTACATTAATCTTAATATTAGCGAAGATTTTTATTGAAATACAAAATAATAATTGTTTTCGTAGAGAGTACTACGATTTCGTAGATTCGTAGATACATATCTATTTAAATGTCAAAAGTTTTACGAGAACAGAATATGCTTCATCCTAAATATATTAAAATACTAGATTTCGCCGGCGACTCCGTCCGCGTGGAATTAAAAAAAAACAAAAGTGTGTAGCCTATGTTCTTCCTGACTATCCTCTACATTTATGCGAAATTTCAACAAGATCCGTTCAGGCGTTTAGGCTACAAACTCTATCAAACATCCATCCATCCATCTACCTAAACATTCGCATTTATAATATTAGTAAGATTAGTAAAATTTTAGTAAAACAATGAATAAAAAAACCTAAAAACTAACGATTACAAAAAACACAATAAATCTTACTAATGTTACAAATGCGACAGCTTAGATGGATGGATGGATGTTTATTGGAGTTTGTAGCGTAAACGGCTGAACTGATCTCAATGAAATTTTGGTACAGATGTAGAGGATAGTCTGGAAGAACACATAGGCTACTCACTTTTTTTAATTCCACGCAAACGGAGTCCCGGACGAAAACTAGTAGTTAAAAAAAATGTAACAAAAGTGTAGAGCGGACATCCATAATATTTCGCTAAAAACTGTTGAATCAATAAGAGAAAAACAATTAAATAACTTATCTATTGCATATTTACATTAATTAATTTGGGTTGAAAACAATTGATAAGCGCTAGGTTTAACTAAGTTTCATCATAAAACTCAAGATACGTAGTTCGGAAACGCTTTTCATGAAGTTATGGAACTATAAACATAAGGGGTTAAAAGTACCTAGGAAACCGACCATAAATAAATCGAAATTAAAAAAAAACTACTCAATGTAAATTCACAAAAAAGATTTAAACTTGTCTGTATAGCTGGCATGAAAGTAAAAAAACTAATAATTAATTGTTACTTCATCTAGATTCGTGGAGATCTAACCATCCAAACTTTCGCATATATCTTCTTTGATCCGGATAATTGATGTTACAGCAGGACGTATTTAAGAAGTTAGATTATGTATGCAAGAGTATTTTTTTAAATTCTATACCAACGAAACAGCTTTCAACATCTAGGGTAACGACTAAAAAACAAAAAAGTTATAAAAAATTTACAACATCAAGTTTTTTATCGCCATTTTTTTCAAGATTAATGTCTAATCCGGTTGTAGTTTCTATGGCTGTTTGTAAAATAAATAAAATATAAAAGGTAATTACAATGCGGTGAATAGATTTTCAAAAGTGGTCAGGCCAATTAGAATTAAGTAACCTTGATGTAAACGTATGTTTTTTTTTCTTTTTTATCTCATTAAATTCAAATTAGAATTAAAAATCGATTTTTCAATTTTTCATATTAGAATTCATTAACTTCGCAGGTATTTTGTATTATCTCTTATACTAAACTATTAAATTATTACTTGTGATAATTTGTAATAAAATGGCATTTATTTTTGGATAATAAAACTAACTAGCTGTCGTCTGCGACTCCATCCACGTGGGATAAAAGAAAATCTTAATTAGTGGCCTACGTGTCAGACTATGTTTGCCATCTGGGCCAAATTTAGGCGTCATCCATTGAGCCGTTCCTTATATCTTCTGCTTTTAATTTTAACAAACATCTATCCTTCTAAACTTTCGCATTTGTAATAAAAAGATAGTAAGATTGAAAAAGAAAACACTGTGGCATAGTTCATACTATGATAGGTGACAGAACTCAACCTGTTTCTTTAATATGTTTTAAGATTAAACCACTAAATAAATAAAAAGCTTGACACGTAATGTCTTATGTTTGATGTTGACACTAGATAAGAATCGAAATTAAAATCACAAGACTAGAAAAAAAATTACATCACAAAAAAATCAAATAACAAAATTTGTAATTCAAAATTTTTATTTGATAAACTTGATGACAAATGTGATTTACATGTTTCTAAAATATAGATTGCGTCTTAAACTATTTACATATTTGCTAACTGCTCGGGCTTTGTAATCTAAAATCATAAATTACATGTCATAATTTTTTTTCTGCTAGATAGTGTGAAATGAGTAAATTACATCTTAGTAATGTTAAAATAGCGAAATAGTCGACATGTTACATAAAATGATCTGTGCAAAAGTGCATCTTGCTGTTTGACCTTCTGCCTAATCCCTGAGAAACATCATCCTTATTGTACTCCCGTAAGGTCGGCGCAACAGATTTTTGTCCTCCACATAACTCTGTACGTCATCTCAGTCATCACTCCCTTTTTGATCATGTCACCTTTCACGTAATACATCCATCTCTTCTAGGTCTACCTCTACCGGTGTACCTCCACACTCATAACTAACGTTCTCCTTGTAAAATGCGATTCAGTACTCCTCATAACAGAATACCTAAGAAACGACTAAGAAAAAATATAAATATTTCGCTTATGATGTTTCACAAACGAAATATGCATAGCGAATAATAATATAACGATACGAATTTAGTTTACAGGACGAAATTGTATTACATATTCATTCCTCTGAAAAACATTACCCTCTCATAAAAAACCTTGCTAAAGATTGAGTACCAAAAATTGCACAGTAACTCCAACGAGCATTAAAAGACATAAACGAGTTTGACAGCTTTCAAGTTAAGGATTTAAAAAAATATTAATGATCGTATTTACTCTTAAATATTTTAATTATTACAGTCCAGTGATTCAGGGTAACGGTCGGTGAAAGTATAATGTTGTATATGAGACTAGCTGTTCCCGTGCGGCTTCATCCGCATCAAATTATGAAAATTTTATTTTATTGTTTATATTTGTCAAATTATCAATTGCGAATGTCAACCTTGCTTCCTTGATGTTGGCAGCAACTTATGGTCTCTTTCCCACATTAGTGTTTTTAACCAAAATTACCCCCTAAGTTTAATGGCGTGAAAGTATATAGCCTAAAGCGTGACGTAAGTGTAAAGCTTTTTATTAAAAAAAGAATTATTCAAAAATATGCTGTAATTGCTGATATCTTACGCAACAAAGAAGTGTGTGTTTACGCTTTATTATAATAGTATGAAATTATTGAAAACATTTACAGATTATGTCATTTGTTTTGAAACTGTAATTAAATGTAAGATTGATTTAATTTCAGTCATAACCAAACCAGATGCTGCTCGCGACTTCGCTCGCATGTAAAATACCTACATTACTCACAGATAAATTATCTTTCGAACGGTGAAAGAATTTTTAAAATAGGCCCAGTAGTTTTAGAGTTATTTCAATACATACAAGAATACAAATCTTTCCTCTTTATAGTATTAGTACAGATTACAAGGTATATGTCCATTTTATTCAACTTCTGTAACATAACTTCTAATTTTACCTGACAGCAAACATCCATAGTAATCTGTGCATAAACTAGTTATTGCTACTTCTTACGTGCGAGATATAAAAAAATCAATAGGTTTGTCAGATTATGTTCAAAATGTGACAAATTTTATCGATACATAGTAACAAATATCCATCCATTCAAATTATTGCATTTACAATATTAGTGTAATCTGTACGAACTTTTAAATACATTTCAGGGGTCAATAGACGTGCTTTTACTACCAGATTTATTAAGTTGATATGGTGAGAGCAATAAAATTGTTAATTGCTTTTTTGCTTTCAATCAATGTCAATTTTTTACTTACTCGTGTTTTAACATGCTGTTAATTTAAGCAAACATCTTACGTAACGCTTTATTTAATACATTTCCAAATTAATTGGTCTTAAAGTAACGGTCGATTACCAAAAAGAATTTAAACATTTCTCTTCGAGAGCTTACATTCTGGCAATAATGCTTGGATAAATTTTTTATAGAATTTGGAGTTTAGCGTGACCTTATCATTTAAGACTCTCTTACATATTTAAATGTCGTTTAAATAGTCGATTGTGAGACTTTCAACTTGTATCAGTGATAAGGTCAATAACCTATATCTGAAAAATCTTACATCTAAAAAACGATTGGTTCGTTTGTTACTAGGTATGTTTAAAATTCCTGTTAAATTATTTAAACTTTCGT